GTTGGGCGTGTGGCGAGGGGATGGAGCCGTGGGGGGGGGGAGGGGGGGGGGGGGGGGGAAAGGGGAAACGGGGCCAGGGCGAGGGGGGGAGGGGGGGAGGACGCCAGGACCGGGGAGCAGACACCCAAATACAAGCACGTACAAAGCCACAGGCAATGCCGAAGCCGTGGCACGCGTCAACCAGCTGGCGCAGGCGCTCTTGGCGCAGGGGGCTCAGACCGAACTCCATCCAGTCCGGCGACAGGAGAAGCACCCACTCGACGGCATTTTGCCGATTGGCCGTGATCCACTCCAGGAAGAGCTCCCAGTCGCGGGTGAGCATCGAGTGGAAGGACTCCTCGTAGCGGAGCTGCCGCGCGCCGGTCCCCGGGAGCGTGGTGTTGGCTGTCCGAGGAACCAGCGGCGTCCGGGTCAGCGGGATGTCGAAGCCATTCAGCATGTCCGTCAGTTCGAGAGGATGCATGGTATGGACTTTGCTCCGGGGGCCGGGGGCCAAGGGGAAGAGGGGAAGAGGGGAAAGCACATGTCAGCGGGGCAGGAGAGAGGCGGAGGCCATTAGGCCAAGGGATGTGCCGGTGTGTGTGTGTGTGTGTGCGCGCGCTATATAATATATCCATGTGCGTGCACAGTTGTTCGTGTGCTTGTCCATGTGCATACCATGCCACAGGCGGGTGTCCCAGTTCGGCTGACGAGACTCATTCAGACCGACGGTCCGGTGGATGGACCAGTTGGTAGGGATGACCGGCTCCAGGGGATGAAGGAAGGCAAAGCCGATCTTTTCGAGGATGGCTGGCGCGATTGTCCGCAGGGTGGATTTCCCCCCACCCCAGGGCCACACGATGGAGGGAGGTCAGTTGGGGCCATCATCCGGAGCATGACAGACAGAGGGCCGTCCAGGTCATACCGTAAGTGGCGTAGGCAGCACCGAGGGAGGCCTCGGGGTCGACGCCAGCCGCAAGCAGGGAGCTGGCAAACTTGCCGGTGGCCGTGCCATCGCCAGCCAGCACAACCGTGTCATTCAGGAGATGGGTGTTGGCACGAATGATGTAGGACTCTGCGGGGAGCTCGGACTGCATGTAACGGATCAGTGATCGGCGGGGGGGGGGGGGGGGGGGCTACACAAACAAGAGGAGACCACTGGCCTCCCGGGACCAGACATGTTTGTGCGTGCGTGCGTGCGTGCGCGCGTGCACGAACGAGCGGCAGAATGTCGTACCAGCTGGTGCATGGGGATGACCTTCTCCGCGACGGCTGTCCGGCCGAAGGTGAACAGGACCGACCCGGGCTGCAGCTCGGAGTAGTTGGGCAGATGCCATGGCTGGAGGTACTCCACTGGGAAGGGAGATGTCGAGGAGAGAAGCTGCTTCGCGCCTGCAGGCCGAGAGTCAAGCGGTCAGTGGGCCGGGTTTCCGTCGGACGGGGGGGCAGGCAGCACAGGAGAGGGCAGCACGCCTTGGTGAACTCGGAGAAGCCATTCTCCGTGGTGAGGAAGTCGGCCCCGGCCTCGAGCCACCAATCAACTGCATGGCGCAGGACCCCCCATCGGGAAGAGGACGCACGCCGGGTCGC